CCAGCCGCACTGGCCAGGCCTGCGTCCGATTCCCACCCTGGGCCTGCCCCTTGGGAAGATGTGTGTGGCCTCTCCGAGCCTCGGTGTCTTCGTTTGGAAAACGAGTTGTGAAGATTACAGTATTGAAGGGTGAAAAGCACCTAGCACACAGGCTGTCATCTAGCAAGAGCTCAGTACATGCTGGCCTCTGCAATTGCCGTTATCTGTATTGCTAGTGTTAGCTCCAGCCGTCACCCCTGCAGAGTGCATTTCAAGTCCATTAGCTCCTTTCACCCACATGGCAAATGCAGAGACGAAAACGGAGGTCCCCAATTTACATAAGAAGCTGAGGGAGGGGAGGTGACATACTTAGGGCCTGGCAGCTTCTGGCAGGATGCAGTCTGTGGCCCTCGCCTTCATCTCCCCACTCCCCAGTCTGCTGGACCCCGAGCCAGAGCCAGCTTTTGCCTCATTGCCTTTCCTCTCAGGGAAGTAACAGATGTCTTGCATCTCCCCCCTCCCCAGCCATGAAGAAGGTGACAGATCTTGAGGCTCCCATCTCCTTTTATTTTAGCGTTTCCTGAAATTATGTTAACAACAAAATGACTCAGCTTATTCCTGGTTGTCTGACTCTTGTCACCTAGTCCTAAGCCACTTACTTGATTATGCTTTCAGATGTTGGGGGTTATTAGAACAAGATTTGGGGGAGCAAATCTTGCCAGTCACATCCATCTCTTTTCTCTGCCTTCTAGGCGCCCCTGGGAAATCCTGGTTAACAGGATCCAAGATTCAGCAAATGTCAGAAAGTTGGATAAATGAACAAATAATTTTATTTTCATTAGACCAACATTCCATGTGTTTAAAAACTACAAAGTTTTTGGCTGCCATACTATATGCATGAATATGTACTGCCAGATGTACAGTGCCTCTATTTTTGTGAATGTTTTGCTTGTTTTGTAAGTTTGTTTTGAAATACCTGCTCTCTTGGCATTCCTAGAGCCACTTCTGTATTCCCAACAGGAAGAACTGTTAACTAACCTGCTGCTGAACATGTATTGATTTCCCCTGTAGTATCAAATCAGTCCTCTGAGAATTGAGTTTACAGTCCCTTTACCTGCAGTTTCTTGTTAGCCCCATACTGACAAGCAATTTTTTCCAAGGTTTTTAACCTTACTACTTTTTATTGTGCAGTTACAACAAAGACCTTTTAGACAAGGTGATGGAAATGGCTGATGGGATTGAAGTGGAAGACCTGCCACAATTTACGACCAGAAGTGAGTTAATGAAAAAGGTAAACAGGCTTTCCAAGTGCATTTGAAATGGTATAGAGTTGATAGTGATGCATTAGACTATATACTGTTTTCTGAATAGGGTGAACCTTTCCTTCCTGCTTGTGGCAGATCCTCTCCGTGCTTTTTTGCTCCTAAAAGGTGTTCTGCCCTCCCTGAGATCTTTCACATCGATTTTCTTTTGTAGTATACTTTCCTCTCTTGTATGTAGCTGTATTTTGTCATGCCAGGCTATTAGAGATCAGACCACTTCATGATAATTGGGTTGCAAAACCTAAGGAGGTTTTGTAATTGACACGCACATCCCTAACATTACCCATAGGCCAGAGTGAATTTATGTGTGTGTTGGGGGGAAGGTCTCTCTAAACTGTTATATATTGTAAAGGGGTCTTGAGCATCAAAATGTAGGGAGCCCGGTCCTGGGATGTCCATTTTTTTATGCTGTCATTGCACACTGTGAGCCTCCAGCGGTTCTCAACCTGTGGGTCGCGACCATCAGAAAACACATATAGCATATCAGATATTTACATTGCGATTCATAACAGCAGCAAAATTACAGTTATGAAGTAGCAACGAAAATGATTTTATGGTTGGGGGTCACCACAACATGAGGAACTGTATTAAAGGGTCGCGGCATTAGGAAGGTTGAGAACCACTGCTCCAGAGAATAGTTCTCAGGCACGTACCTGGCATCCTAGAAACCAGCTTTGCAGTCAAACTAATCCTTAGCATCTGGCTGCCTGGAAGAAGCCTGCAGGGAGCCTATACTTCTGTAGCACTTTTGGATTACATGTGTTTCAATTTCCTTCAATACTTATTTTTCTTTTTCTAAATTTTTTTTAAAATTTTTATTGATTTCAGAGCGAAGGGGGGCGGGGGAAGAGAGAGAAACATCAGTGATGAGAATCATCAATCGGCTGCCTCCTCCTGCATACTTCCTACTGCGGATTGAGCCTACAACCCGGGCATGTGTACATGACAGACTTTGTGTTGAAGGCTGTCCCCTCGCCATTGAAGGCCACCTTGAGAGCCCACTGGAAAGAGCCTTCAGGGACTTTTGTCTCTTCCCTGAGGTGTTTGCATGTAGTAGACACTGGCAAACCTTAAGCAACATTGCCAGCCCAGAACAAAAGAAAACCTTCATGTTGAGCCATGCACCTGAAAACATGTTGTAGTTCTGCCCACAATTGACCCCTACCTCTAAAATTAGAGTTTAGTTGAGTCTTATGGCTAGCTAGCAGGTGGAAATGAATCGCCTGGCATTGTTGATATCTTAGGACTTAGTGAGGATGACTAAGGGACATGAGCTCTTTAAAGTAAGACTTTAAAAACACTTATGGTCCTGGCCGGTTTGGCTCAGTGGTTAGAGTGTCTGGTCTACTGATGGCACTTGTCCAACAGTTGCAGTGTATGGTTTTTCTTTTGAAAGAGGGAGGTTCGAACACAAATATATGGAGTGAACATTTATCTAACAATCATCCCCAGGCACCTACTGGAAGCTTTTGTGGTTGACCAGCTTTATCCATTAACAAGCAATAATTAACAAATGAGCAGCAGCTTACTCAGAAAGGGTGTCATTACTATGACTGTCAGAATTAATATTTCCAATGCATTGTCTTAAGGAGAAAGAGGAGTGATTGACTAGGAAGCTGTCATTATTGACTAAAAGAAAGAATTTCTCATTGTAATTATTGTCCATTTCCCCTGAAAACATTTTTATCCATGAGGGAAAATGGCAGAATGGAAAGTGAAGAAGTTAGAAAAATGAGTGTATCTGCGTTTCAAGAGGTTATTTTTTTGTGCATTATGTACAGTCTTGGTAAGCTGTAGGGTAATGGAGTAGCCACTTGGTGGAAGGAGATAGGATTCTAAGGTGGTGAGTATTTGTATTAAAAAAGCAGCCTGTCAGATAGTTAAATCAGTTTTGTCTTGCATCCCCAAGATAAATGCTCAGTGGAGCCACCTTTTCCCCTTTATCTGCTAAAAGAAGCCAGAAAAGCTCTGTCTGACCCCATAGGCCAGTGTTGCCTGGTGCCCAGGATGAGTGGATCACGTATCAACACTTTGTGTCAAACACCAGACTTGCAGCAACCAAAGCCAGTGGCAACTGTTGTGCTGTTGTAGTCTTGGTCTTATCAGAAATCTGAGAGACAATTTACAGAATAATCTCCTTCCCTTTGAAGATGGTTTCTTTAGGTGGTACTGCATCCTCCTAAAAGGAGAAAGACTTCTTATACTTTTTGTTTTTGGTGAGGAATTTTGCTGCTTTTAAATTACTCAAAAAGACTGACGCAATAGGCTTAGCTAGGATATAGGTCATACCTTGAAAACTCTGATTACTAAAAAGACTCTCAGATTGATTCATTCACACTGCTAAATGTTAAGGAAATCCATTCAAATACAAGGTGACAGCCAAAATGATTTCTTCACACCTTCCTTAAAAGTTGTCTTAAGCCATGTTTAAATTTACCAAAGGTGCTAGAGAGTACCCAGAAATAATATGTCTGCTTCATTTCGCCACTATTTCAAGACAGTTTCTAATAGTGTGAAATCCAGAAGTACATAACCTTCACATCTCCTAAATATCCTGACTTAATGTGGAATGTTGTGAATTACTACCTGGATTTAGCTGATTTTAATTTAGAACAATAACTGTTTGTGTGATTCTGCTTTTAGAACCTTTCATTGCAAAGCATGCTAGGAAGAAAAGTTATATTTTAAGCATTTCCATTATCACATTAAATTGTGAACATTTACAGATCACAAATGACAAAAAAAAAAAATTAGGTTCTGGCTTCCAAATGGATGGTATGGTCAGAGTTCTGAATTTTTTGTGTGTAGTAAAATATTAATAATTTGAGTCTCCTTACTATCTGGGTAGTACATAAATATTGCATCGCTGCTGTATTTTATGAATCTGATTCACTGGGCTGCATGACTACATAATCTTTTCCTTTTTCCCCCCAGCATCAAAGCTAAGACAGAAGATCCATCACATTTTCATTATCAGGTACAGGCTAGAAAGGAAGAATGTGACGTTGACCACAGAAGCTCTCCTACAACTCCTCGTATTACCAACATGTAGGGAAGAGGCAGTTGAAATGAAAGTGGCATTTTAAAAGGTCTCATTCTTCCAGTAGCTATCATTGTAAAAGTATGCATGGATATTTATGTATTTATAAATCATGCCTTTTTATTTTGTTTCTGAATATCAAACTTTTTGTTAAAATGCATATTTTTTTATGTTGATGTAATAATGGCAGGTAATGGATTTTACACTTTGGATTTCTCAACAATGTACCTTTAAGCGTGATCTGGTCTTATGGTCCTTTTTTCCCCTCTCACAAACCAGACCCTTTATTTCCTATTGCTATCTGAAGTTTACACCATCCATATACTCCACTGTCATACACACTCATCTTTTTTAAAGAGTTAAGAGAATCAAACCATAGGCTGCAAGTACCCATCAGCTCATGTGAAGAGGCAGCCTGCAAAAGAGCATCTGATCTTATTTTAAAACTGACAAAAGACGCCGAACCGGTTTGGCTCAGTGGATAGAGCGTCGGCCTGCGGACTCAAGGGTCCCGGGTTCGATTCTGGTCAAGGGCATGTACCTTGGTTGCGGGCGCATCCCCAGTGGGGGGGCATGCAGGAGGCAGCTGATCCATCTCTCTCATCGATGTTTCTGACTTTCTATCCCTCTCCTTTCTTCTCTGTAAAAAATCATTAAAATATATTTTTTAAAATAAATAAATAAATAAAATAAACCTGACAAAAGATTCCTTAGTTTGATCCAGGCAGCCAGTTGATCTGTAGATTCTCTAGAACAGGGGTCCTCAAACTTTTTAAACAGGGAGCCAGTTCACTGTCCCTCAGACCATTGGAGGACCAGACTATAGTTTAAAAAAAAACTGAACAAATTCCTATGCACACTGCACATATCTTATTTTGAAGTAAAAAAAACAAAACGGGAACAAATACATTTGTATTTGCACGTGGCCCGCGGGCCGTAGTTTGAGGACCCCTGCTCTAGAAGGTCTCCCAGCTGCTGAGTGAAGGCCTCATTTCCCCGCCCCCCAGAGGGAGCCTTACGCTCTTGTCTTCTACAGACTTGAGGAATTGCCAAGCACAAAGAAATTCTTTATTGCAGTGCTGCTCTGCTCTGAAATTTTGGTATTAATTTCCCCCTATTAGTTAATGTATCTTTATCCCTCTCCTGTTCCTCTTTCCTATTTAGTATCCACCATTAAGTATTTTTTCCAAGCATAAGTACTGAGAGAGGGACATCATTTAGGAGACAGCAGTGTAATAGCCAGTCACAGTAGGATTCTCGCATCAGGGTGCTTGGTCCTGAGGATAGTAGTAAATAAGACAGTGGATACTGCTTTAGTTTAACTTATTGAAAAACCCAGGTACCTCAACAACCAGAAGTGCTAACGAGGAGAGCTGACTATGGGAGCATGGTGTCTGGTGGCAGAGAAATGGGATGACTCTTGCCATGGCTTAAGGCCAGGCTGTACACCTTGGATGGGCCTCTTCTTTGTGCAACTTTTAGCTCATCTCTAGTGACCACTGGAGTGGACCAAGTTGGGAGAAACAAGATCTCTGACCTATAACTCTGGACAAGCCACTTCTCCCCTCCAGCCTTATCTGAAAATGGAGATCATAGAAATAACTACTACCAGAGCTATGGCAAGGATTAAGATGGAGGGCCAAGCACATGCTTAATGAGCCTTAACCTCTTCTTTTCCTCAAATGTAGCCTAGTCTCTTTCATTCTAATCATTTGTAGAAATTTGTGAGGCTTAAAAGGCCAAATTATAAAGTGGAAAGTCAGACTGTGGTTATTGCTTTTTAAAAATGTTTTTGTTGATTTTGGAGAGGGGAAAGGAGAGAGAAATAAAAATTGGCTGCCTCCTGCACACCCCCTACTGGGGCTCGAGTCTACTACCTGGCCTTGTGCCCTGACTGGTAATCAAACCTCATGACTTCACTGTGCACAGGATGACACTCAGCCAACTGAGCCACACCGGCCGGGGCTGATTATTCACTTTTAAAATGCATTTTTCCATGGGTTTCTCATGATGGATTCTTTTTTCTCTAGAAGATATAATGTCCCATTAAATTAATATCCCATCAGGAATATATCTATTGCATACAGCAAGCTTAAATTGTGTACTGACAGATAAACTTCTCCACCCCCATCCCCATCAGTTTATTTTTGAAGACTTCACTAACCAAAATCAAATTTTTTAATACCATTTTCTGATGCATTTTCTAATACCATTTTCCTCAGTTTAAGCAGCTCCTTTTTCTTCTCATCTGTATGACTTATATGGCTATTTTTCCTGTAAAATTAAATAATATTTTATAATTTTAACATGTTTTTCTGGCATTGAAATCCAATTTTTTTGCATGGCAGCACTCCTGTGGTGTAGGTAAAATGGTCCACTCTTAGCTTTCAAACAGGAGCTCGCACCAGATATAAGCTACAAGATATTGGCCTCTTCATATATATATAGTCTTCCCCAAGATGGGGTGAGGATCAAGTGATATCTTAGGAAGAGACATAGTGTAGTATTACCTTCAAATAATGACTAAAAGAGGATCTTTTCTGTTAAAGACAGTAAATCTCAATACTTGTGAAAAGCACAAGAACAGTTTAGGGTGCTCAGTTAAGTGATACCCTTTCATGTTATCCAGAAAATTGCTTTTTGAAACATTCTTAAGAGTCTGTGGCCCACCTGATCAATCCTCTACCTTTGCAGGGGAAAGATTCCCGCTGAACTTTTCCAGGATCCACTTGGATCTGTGCTTACCTATTCCACGGGCATTGGGAGGAATGACACTATCACCACCCTGAAGCTTTGCTATCTGGAGTAGTAAATCGCCATGAAAATAGTGTTCATCTGAAATGAGGTTTATATTACCCCATATGTCAGATAACTTAGTGTTTACCCGCTGTCCAGCTCTAAATTCTCTGCTGGGTACTCTTATGTCTGGAAGGAGACTGTTAACTTCTAGGTCGGAGTTCTGTTATCTAATCATTCTTGATGAGTTTAGGGACACCTTTTGGCTCTGTAGAATAAAAGTAAACACAAATCTTTTTTTAAAAATACACTTTTATTGAGTTTTGAAAGGGAGAGGGAGAGATAGAAACATCAATAATGAGAATTATTGATCCGCTGCCTCCTGTACGCTCCCCACTGGGCACTGAGCTTGCAACCGGGGCATGTGCCCTTGACTGGAGTTGAACCTGGGACCCTTCAGTCCACAGGCTGACACTCTATCCACTGAGCCAAACCAGCTAGGGCTAAACACAAATCTTAAGAGGCACAAGTTTTAGAACTTAAAACAGAATTTTGGTCATAATGTGTATTGTTTCATTCAACAAATAGAGTACACACTAAATAAGTTCTCTGTGCCCTAGTTGGTTTGGCTTAGTGAACGGAGTGTCTGCCTGTGGACTGAAGGGTCCTGGATTTGATTCCCAGTCAGGGCACATGCCTGGGTTGCAGGCTCGATCCCCAGTGGGAGTTGTGCAGGAGGCAACCAATCAATGATTCACTCTCATCGTTGATGTTTCTCTCTCTTTTCCTCTCCTTTCCTCTCTGAAGTCAATAAAAATATATTAAGAAAAAATAAAATTCTCTGCTTGTTATGGACACACACACAAATACACAAATTCTTTGGTGGAGAAACAGAATCTCACATGGCTCACTTTTCATTAAAATAAATAGAGAGCAAATAGTAATGCCTGTTTATTTTTTAGTGAAAAGCAAAAAAAGTTTGTCCCTTCAAAGTCATGACTCCCAGGGCTAGGAGTGGCAGTATTGGCTGCCCTTTTTTGGTTTGGGCTTTCTCACAATGCCAGCTGTAAGGGCAGAGTCCTTTGCATATGTTCTTGTGACATGGAGGTTGGTTTGAAGCCTTGCCTTTGGGTAAGAGGACCACCTGAGGAGTTGGGGTAACCATCTGAACAGATGCCCTTAGAAATCAAATTGTAAAAATTGAGACTATTAAGCTCCCATTTGATGAATTCTTATCTATTCTAGACCATGTGAACCAGAGCTTCTTTCCAACAGTGCTGTCAGAAAAGGGTACCTCCTTAAAATATCACCCTGGTAGTTGTGGCCCAAGTCCCATCTTTCTTTCTCTGCCTAGGAGAAGTAGGCTAATGAACCCAAAATATCCTTTACTGTGGCCCTCCAACCTATTGCTTGAGAGGAAGATGCTGTTAGGGCCTAAGGCAAGCCTTGGTACTCCTCTGGTTTAGTGAAGGTAGTAAGGTCAACCTTGAACTAGGTGGGCCTAAAGACCTTGCTTTGATGTGAATGCTAGCACCAAAATCTCATTCTATAGGGCTGCATTTCCCTTTCCCTTTGACATATTTTTTTTAAGAATATTTAACTGAACCTAGTAGATGTGAATTAGGAGATGCTTCCCAAAGTTATTTCACCTCAGGATAGGGATCGGCAAAGTGGGGATGATCCTTTAATCTTTATTGGAGGATTCCGTGGAAAAACTAATGTCAGTGAAAGCACCTGGCACTTAGTGAACTTTACTTCATTCCTGCGTTTTGTTTTACCTTTGAGGCCAAGCTGGTAATATATGAAATGTCTCAACTTACATTTACATGCAAAAAAAAAAATGAGCACCCACAATCACCCCATTAGACCAGGCTCCATCCTCAGGGCTGTAGAAGGGCATGCCTTTTCCATTCAAACTGTGGAGCTGTCACCTGGCCTGTGTTCTACCCCCAGCCCAGGTCAGAGCTGGTGGTTCAACCTGGTGTGCCCAGCCACAGGTCACAGGACCATGCTGCATGTGTGCTGCCAGGGGTTTCTAGGGCGTCATCCTGCCTTGGTGCTGGGGTCACACAGTGAATTGCATGCCAGAGGGCTCTGGGCCCTCACAGGGAGTGGCATACCAGATGAACGGTGCACATGCCCCTGCCCACCGTGAGAATATGAAGTGGACAACTGAGGGACCAGAGTCAGGGGAGAAAGGAGTACAGCTCAGAGCAGACAATAAAGGTGTGAAACTGAAGGTAGACCCAGCTTCCAGTCTAGTGAGTCCCAGATCATTGCACTGCTAGGGCCTTCAACCCCTTGGACCCCAAGGCCAGAAAGAGACAGCAAAAATGGGGGGACAAACCCCATTTAGGGAAACCCCCAAAGGAAAGAAAATGAGGAATCGCCAAAAAAGAAACTAAATAAAATGGAGGCAAGCAGAATGTCAGAGAAAGAATTCAAAGTAAGGGTCATACACCTTCTTAACTAGCTGGATGAGAAAATTACCAACATATGTAAGAACTAAGAGGAAATGAAGTGATCCATATCACTCAAGGTTTGAGTGTGTGGTTAGGATATTGTCTATGAGGAGCAAGAAGGAAGAAAGAAAAGTACAGATGACCTCAATTAAGGGGTCATGGCTAGAAATGCTGATTAGGGAATCTGGTTTGCTGTGTTTAAGTTAAAGTATCTCTGAGACAATTTTAAAAAAGGAGTAGACTGTTCTCTATAATGCTGTTTATATTTTGCTTGGTAGTTCAGTTTGTTCATTAAATGCCACATATGAGTGAAATCATTTGCTACTTGTCTGTTGGTGGTGTTGGGGTGTGGTGTAGAGATGAAGTAAAAAAAGAAAAAAAGCTAGAGAGAACCCATGGACATGGACAACAGTATGGTGATTTTGGAGGTGTGAGGGGTTGGGTGAAGAAGGAAGAGGCCATAGAGGGGATACATGGTGATGGAAAGAAAAAAAGAGAAGTCAGGTAGAAAAAAAGAAAATGAAAAGAAAAAAATGTGAACCTGGATGATGAACCTATGGAAAGTCAATTATTTTCTATCTTCTTTTGTTCCTGTTAGATATTTTCTATAATAAAAGATTAAAAAAAGAAAAAAAAGCTGTAGTGATGATGTAGAGAAATTACTGACAGAATGGCACATATTTCTTATTTTTTGAAAGGATAGAGGAAAACTGTCAATTCTTTCAACATATCTTTGTTCTGTTATATACTGGAATAAGTGATAAGTAATCTTTCCCCTTATCTGACAGCAGCTGTTTTCCCTAACTACATGGGAACTGAAGAGGGCACAAGGACCCAGGTCCTATGCACAATTTCATTTACCTTTAATAGCTTTCCAACCATTGACTTTTCTATTAACATACATAATTCCAACAGATTTCTTTGGGACTTTGCATTGCTGAATGCAATATAAAGGAACTGTAAGAAACACTACCAAGACCTAAAAACTTGGTCTCTGCTCTTGAAACATGGAAGAATTAAGAGATCAAAATACCTTAGATGTAACTAAATTGTGCTGTAAGCCTGAGTTCTTTCTTAAAAAGAGTACTAAATGAATAAACTTAGGTGCCTTATTCACTGAGCACAAAAGATGTTACTAAGTACTTTAAATAGCTTTTCCCCCCTATTACCACCCCCTATATTAATAATTTTTAGATCAGTTCTAGAAGTTAATCATATTAATGGAACTTATGTTTTTGGGGGTGGGGTGTGCAGACTCAAGGATATTTTTAGGAAGAGAAAAATTTTTGGTCTATTGATAAATCATAGTCCTTTATAGCAGAGACCTGAAAATGTCCCTTGATCAAGACTTTATACTAGAAAGAGAGTTGGAAAATGGTGGTCAGGAAAACCTTTTCATTGGACAGATACCAGTCTGTACATAACTCTAAATCAACAAAAGTATTTTCATAAATTGGGATAGAATATTTAAGTTCAAATCCCAGCTCTATCACTAGCTAGTTGGTTGATCTAGAGCTAGTCACAGTTAATCTCTTTGTACCTAGTTTGCTAGTCTTTGATACCCACACCTCAGGATTACTAAGTCTGAGATGCAATGTATGTCAGAATTCTTAGAATAGTGCCTTGTACAGTGTTATGTATTGTTAAAGAGGAATTTTGTCACAAATGTATTTAAATTTTAACATGAATCCACCTTCATAACTAAACAACTTAATTCTAGCCTCCTGCCATAGCATTTATAAAATTTGTGGAGTTTAAAAAAAATTTGTATAGAGTTTCCAAGTACATATTTTTTTATATAACCTTGTGCCTTTCTAGCGATGACAACTTCCCCATAACAACATCCCTCTCCAGAAGGAAAAAACACACACACACAAGAAAAACGCCTGGTATGGAGCCCAATTCCCACATCATGGATGTGAAATGCCCAGGATGCTATAAAATCATCACCGTCTTTAGCCATGCACAGTTTTGTGTGTTAGCTGCTGCACTGTCCTCATTAGCCTAAGCTGTTCCTAAGCTGAAGGAAAAAACTATGAGGAGTAATTCAGAGACCGTGCCCAAGAATTTTCTCCAATGAAATGCAGACTAGGTGAGTTGGATGCGTTGACTCCTTGCCAAGTAAGATATAATTTATATATTAAAAAGGCTAATATGCAAAGTGTCCCCTTGGGAGTTCAATCACTTGCTATGACGTGTGCTGACCACTCTGGGGTGGCACAAAACAAAGGAAGGCCCCAGATGGCAGGCCTGCTAGCTAGCCTAGGTACCCTACCTGTGCACGAATTTTCTTCAATTAATTTCCCATCGATACTTGAAATGTTTGAGTTTAAAATAGGGAAAGGAAAACAGGTTAAGGATAAAAATAGATTTCAAAGCAGTATCCAAATAACATGTAATGAAGTAAGAGGGAAGACTCATTGCTACTGTGTATTAACTATCAGAGTCACTTCACTCACTGGACTATATGTCTATAGAAAGAATAATTTTAGAGCTGAATATAAAAGCATCACACATTTAAAATGACCAAAAAGCATCGTTAAATAAAGTGCCTTTCCCCCACTTTTGGCCATTAATTCCAGTGAGTGAACTCTCACTTGTATCAAAGTACTTAAGGCCATACACTTACCCCCAAATTTGCCAACTAATAACTTTAAAAGAAACGATCAGCACTTATCCTTCTAGTTTTAAACTTTGCTTACTAAAGCTATAGATATTCCCATCTTACAGTCTTCTAATAGAGAAGCAGCTCTGAGCTTACTAAACTAGTAGGAATATGACAAGAAAACTCTTGGGATTACTGAAATAGCTGTTTTAACTACTAGAAAGACTACACAGGTGGTTCAACAGAATTTACTTGTATATTTTCCATTTTCTATCCTACTTGAAGGCATAGGATAGCTCTGTATTAGCTTTCTACAATACCATGTTTTAAATGTAAACTAGATGCAGTACAACTTTTATACAATTTAGGAGATTAAAAAATGTCTGCCTTGCTCGTCCACTGAAATTCTTATTCATTGCTAATAGTGGGGTATGGACGTTTGGTAAATGCTTATGGTTTTACTCTCTTCATTATCAAAGGTCTTTTAAAGTGCATCAAGCAGCAAATAAGTTGCATCAGCTCTCTGCTCATTAAAGGTAAAGGTGCTAATTCCTCATGGTAGAGGTGCAAATTGTGAATTCACAAGAGGCACAGTTTAACAGTAAGTAGAGCATGAAGAAACAGTAAAAGTGGCCCAAGTACAGAGTTGGACAGAACAAACCAATTTATAACTGCTCAATTGAAAGCAATACAGGTGCATTCAAAAATGAAGTTTGAGATTATAAGTGTTTAGAATCAAATTTGAAGAATTTCTTGATAAAATATAAATCTGTTCTTTTGAAATTGGAAATGAAACTATCAATTGATTGAGAGCTAGAGACTTATTAACCCCTCCTACATAGATAAGGAAATAAGTGACAAAGTCTCTTGAAGTTATGTATTTTAACAGCTTTACATGTAATATTCATATATAAAAAACTTTAAGTGCTTTTCTCCAATTTAAAAATCTAAAGAATTCAAAAATAAGGCATTCAATATTTGAAAAAAGTACAGATTTACAAAATGTGTATATTCTGTCATGAAAACTCCACACCAACATTATACACTTGGAAAAAAATACAAACAGGATATATTACAAATTTATGTAAGCAATAACTTAGTTCACACCATGCAATAAAAAGTACATTAATCAAGATACACAAGCTTTTATAGGTTCTAAACTGAAGGACTTTTCTTCTGCAGAATCCTTAAAACTGGTGGCACTTAAAATTTGTTAGCCTTTCTACTGAGAGGTAAATTATACACAACGATGATGAAAAAGATTAACAGACCAGGTGTCTATTATGAATCATTCCAGCTTTGTTCAACAATGGCTGAAACTCTTTTCTCATATTCTCGTTTGTTTTCCTGATAAAGTTGTGCTGCCTGGCTATTAGCTGGACTGTTTGGATTTGGTTCATCCAGCAGAGACTAAAAGGAGAGAGAAAAAAATAGAGTTGCAGAGTTGTTCTTTGTATTAACAGGGGTCAGATAAAGAGCACAGAAGTTATATAAAATGGCAGAAATTATTATGTCTTACATATTTTTAGGTCTAAATAATTTCAGAAATGGCTTGATAAATACAGTGAGAAGATTCCTACTGCTAGAGAAAAGGTTCTAAAACAGGTCACTCTCAATTGCTTTAAGACCTTTGGAATAAATTGGGAAAGAATATCTTCTTTAGCCTACTAACATTAGGAAGCAAGCAATTTGATTTGCAGATTTGGTTAATATACACCACCTATAAATAGCTTAGTAACAAACCTTTTCCAACATTAAGCTCTATTATTGTAGTTATTTGGCAAATGTCTTCACAAGTTAAATAATCTTGTTTCCTTTAATTAATAAAACATATCTAGCAGCAAAGGGATGAAATAAGAAGGTTAAAAACAATTTTTATAAGATGACCCCAATTAAAGCAAAGCTTTAAAAAGGTCACAAACCAAAACATTACTTCTGCTCCTCTCAAATCCACATAACTAAAACATACCTCTCTCCATCCCTCCAGAAAACTATCATTCAAGGTCCACTGTGAAATATTCTGCCAGAGTGCTTTAGCAAATAGTTATGCTACTTTCTTTTACATATATGCTAGAGGCCCAGTGCACAAAATTTATGTGTGGGGGATGGAGAGTCCCCTCAGCAGGGCCTGCACCCTCTCCAATCCAGGACCCCTTGGGGGATGTCCGACTGCAGACATCCCTCTTGCAATCCAGGACCGCTGGCTCCTAACCACTCACCTGCCTGCCAGCCTGATCACCCCTAACTGCTCTCCCCTGCCGGCCTGTCCCTAACCACTCTCCCCTACCTGCCTGATTGCTCCAACTGCCTCTGCCTCGGCCCCCACCACCATGGCTTTGTCCGGAAGGACGTCTAGAAGGATGTCTGAAAGACTTTCAGTCTAATTAGCATATTACCCTTTTATTAGTATAGACAATTTCTTGGATGGGGCAGTATTCTCAATTCTCTGCACTTGGCAGTTTCTTGGGTCCCTATGGGTTTTTTTTAAGCAATCATCTTTTATCTTTCCCTGAGATTTTTCATTCTTCTCCACAACTTCTGGCTATACTTCATGGGCACAAATACTTGGCCTGTGAGAATATTAACTTACACATAAACAGGAAAATAATTGTGGATTTGATCTAAGGTGGTCACTAATGAAAAAGGAGACCAGACGTCTAAAAATCATGGGTTTTTTTCTGAGCTCTGCCACTGGTTATCTCAGTGCTGGGAAAGTTAATTTGCTCACTCCGTCTTTAGATTATGCTTAAAAGAGCTGATTGGATACCACAAAGTCTTGAAAAACTATGATGCATCTTAATACACACTTACCTGAATTGAGGTTAAAATAGAAGATACATCATATGTTGGACTCCATCGATTCTGAAGGATATCTAAACATATGCTACCATCAGCATACACTGCAAAGACAACACTAAAACTGGTTACATATTAACTTTGTCATACCTATTAAGAGAAAGCTTTACCACAAATAGAACGCTTGGCCCACACAGAAGTTTTGAAAATTAGGCAATAACTAAACCCCATTCTCACAAGAAAACCAGTCCTAAATAAGGTCTCTTATTTTGTACCTTCTCATGAGGAGGCTGGGTGGGAGTTAAAACTTTTTCAACATTCCATATAGTAAATCTGTTTAAATTCCCTATTTCTAAATATTCTTAAATAAAGCTTTTTTTGAGGGGGGGGGAGGTGAGTTTATTTCTTTAAAAAAATATTTTTTCTTGCTTTCAAAGAGGAAGGGCAATAGAGAGACAGAAACATCAATGATGAGAGATGATCAGCTGCCTCTGGCACATCCCACCCACACTGGGGATCGAGCCCACAACCCAGGCATGTGCCCAGACCGGTAACTGAACCTGGGACCCACCCTTCAGTCCACAGGCCAACGCTCTAGCCACCGAGCCACACCGGCTAGGGCTAAAGTTTATTTTTTAACACAGCAATTTCACTCCCAGAAATTACTCTAAAAGAAATAACCATGAACATACAAAATTTTACTCACAAATGTTCACTATAACACTCTTTATAAGTGTGAAAAATTGGAAACCACCTTGTGGCCCATAAAGAGGGGACCTGCTAAATGCTACATTCATATAACCACTGCCACACTAGTCAACAGAAATGATACACATCTACCCTACGTTAACTAATGTAGAAAGACATCCATAATATATTACCTTAATACTGTAATTTTCCAATTATTTATACAGGATAATATAATTCCATTTATAGTAAAAAATTATAACTATCTTCATTTGAGATGTATGTAGTTGCAAAAACATTTGTAAGATTGTCAAAATGTAACTAGCAGATAACTGTGATAGTAGGATTACGAAAGATCTTGTTTATCTTTTCTTGTATTCTGTGATGTTTTTGCATTGAGTATACATTCCTTTTATAATTAAAAAATAAAAGTAATTAACAAGTTTTAGAAGTTTTTAGAGCAGGGGTGGGCAAACTTTTTGACTAGAGGGCCACAATGGATTCTTAAACCTCGACTCAGAAGAAGGAGCTGCGGCCATGTTTCCCAACGTTGCCATGTTAACACTGCTGCTGGTGAAGGAGCGGAGGGGAGAGCAAGAGAACCCTCCGCTCTTTCGGCTCCACGGGCCGGACAGAACAGCCGAACGGGCCGGATCCGGCCAGCGGCCGTAGTTTGCCCACGGCTGCTTTAGAGCAAGCCAGATCACTCTACATAAAAACAGCAATGCAGCTTTTGGGAGCAGGGGGAGAAGACGAGGCAAAGTATACTTAAATGCTGTCATACCACAGGGCTCTATTCTTCTTACCCATTACTATCCATGTGCTAGGTACTTCCAACTGTTAGCTTTAGACCAGATCCTAAAACTTAGCTTAACAAGTCAATTTACTTACTATAAATCCAAAGGAACATCACATTTAGGAAACCCAGAGCAAATATCACACCTCTGTAAATCCCATGAAAGTATAAAATGATTTTTAAGTTTTGAACTAGTAACTATTTTTGAGAAGTAATCAAAAAGTAAACAAGCCCTAACTGGTTTGGCTCAGCGGATAGAGCGTCAGCCTGCAGACTCAAGAGTCCCAGGTTCGATTCCGGTCAAGAGCATGTACCTTGGTTGCGGGCACATCCCCAGTGGGGGGTGTGCAGGAGGCAGCTGAACAATGTTTCTCTCTCATCGATGTTTCTGGCTCTCTATCCCTCTCCCTTCCTCTCTGTAAAAAAAAAAAATCAATAAAATATATTTTTAAAAAAAACGTAAACAAGAAACCTAGGGACTGATGAATAAATAAAGTGCACTATATCCATACAATGGGATATCACTCACCATAAAAGAAAATGAAGTAGTTATGTGTTACAACATAGATGAACCCTGAAAACTAGCTTGCTAGCTGAAGTTAGTCACAAAGAACCATTTATATTACATGATTCCATTTATGTAAAATCTCCAGACTAGGCAAATCTATAGAAACAAAAAATAAGTCCATGGACTGCTAACAGGTATGGGATTTTTGGGGGAGGGTCATAAAAAAAGGGTTCTAAAATTGGCCCAGCTGCATGGCTCAGTGCTTGAGCACTGTCCTATGAACCAGGTCATAGTTCAATTCCTGGTCAAGGGCACATGCCTGGGTTGCAGGCTCGATCCCCAGTAGGGGGCATGCAGGAGGCAGCCAATCAATGATTCTCTCATCATTGATGTTTCTATCTCTCTGTCCCTCTCCCTTCCTCTCTGAAGTCAATAAAAATTATTAAAACAAACACTGAACTGTATATTTTAAATGGGTAAAGAGCATGGTATCTCTCTTTATAAAACCCTAATATGCAAATAGACTGAACGGCAGAACAACTGAACTAAACAGTCGCTATGATGTGCACTGACCACCAGGGGGCGCGAGTGGAACATGGTGGGCATTGGCTGCAGCAGGATGGAGGAGCAGGTGGGGGGGGAGAGGGGGTACCAGACCAAGGTGGGGTGCTGGTCGCTGTCATCGGGGCAAGCCTCTGGTGGTTAATGAAAATTCTTTGCTCCCGTGCTCTGTGGTCCCATCTGGTGCTCGCACCTGCTGCTGGCACCAGCCCTGCTCACACCCACTGCTGGCACCAGAACTGCTGCCGGTGCTCAGCGCTGGCCGATTGCCCCTGAGGGTTTCTCATCCTCCCCCTGCTCCTGAGGGGCGATTTAGGCAGCAGCTGCCCCTCGCACTTGCTGACAGCTCTGGCCCTGCTTGCACCCACTGCTGGTGCCAGCCCTAATTGCTCTGCACTGTCAGGGGGTGCGAGTGGGGCCGGCACCATCAGTGCATGGGAGCAGTGGTGGCAGGAGCGGGGATGCCGGCAGACAGGGAACCAGGGGCCGCAGTGGGAGGGACAAGGCAGGGGCGCAGAGGATGGGTCAAGACCCGTCCTATGCCCACCTCAGCCTCGCAGTCCACAGTTCCTTTCAAGGTGCATGAATTTGTGCACTGGACCCCTAGTATGAATTATATTTCAATAAAGGTGTTAATAAAGTAAACCAGGAAGTTAACAATAAAACAGTACTGATAGCAGAAAAAAGGGAGACGATGTTATTAATATTAAATGATAAAAAATAACAATATAGTTTCTCCATAAATCTATTAATCCTACACCTATACACATATACTCCCTGTGCATTCTACAGTCTATTCCACCTTGATTTACAGAGCCCCCTTACTATAATTTGGGTTGATTCAATATAAAGTCTAAGCCAGGATAAAGCAACAGCAGAGTAGTAAGCAACTTGGGAATTTCCCCAAAACAGAAACAAAACATTCAATTAAACCTGTCTTGGCTTTAAAAGAAAAAAAATGGCAGCTGGAAGGAAAAAGCAAAAGAAATTAAATCTATTATTGGGAAGTCACACTGGTTCCACGTACACAAAAAGACTCCTCTGGCCGAAACCGGTTTGGCTCAGTGGATAGAGCGTCGGCCTGCGGACTGAAGGGTCCCGGGTTCGATTCCGGTCAAGGGCGTGTGCCTGGGTTGCGGGCACATCCCCAGTGGGGGATGTGCAGGAGGCGGCTGATCGATGTCTCTCTCTCATCGATGTTTCTGACTCTCTATCTCTCTCCCTTCTTCTCTGTAGAAAATCAATAAAATATATTAAAAAAAAAAAAAAAAAGACTCCTCTGAATAGGGAGCTCTACCTGCCTATAGCCCACTCATGCAGTTTGCAGTACTAGACTTCATGCAATCAGAAAGACTTCTGAATATGTGCCTTCTGAAAAGAAGTTAACTGATGAGGAAGATCACATTGAAATGAGCAAAAGGTTACAAAAAGAGAACTTAAATATTTTGGAAAATAAGTCTTTCAGACAGTAATTTATAATCCAGGAATATAAATATATTAAAAGAGCACAAAGTCGGGGAAAAACAAATTTAACTACAAAAGGGTCCCTCAGCAATCATTTATGAAAAATAATAAAATAAACTTCTGAAAATGAAAATAGGAATGAGAAAAAAAGAGTAAAACTATTTTAAAAAGCCTTAAAAATACACAAACCTTTGATCCAGTAATACCACTTCTAAAAACTTATTCTAAAGAAATATTCAGTAGTATTTGAGAAGATTTATTTTCAAGAATATCAAAAGTGCTGAAAACTAACAACTGGACACTGATTAGGTAAGTTATGGCAAACTCAGAACATTTTGTAGCCACTAAGAATGGTGTAGAAATATTTAATAAGGGAAAATGTTCATAGTATATAAAAAATTAGGTACTTAAGTTTATTCAGAACATACCAATTTTGTACAAGCATTTATTTGTGTTTTTAAAAGCTAAATTTTAAGTGACAAATTCTTTTCAACATCTTTCACAGTTCTACAAATAAATATTACTTTAAAATCAGAAGTTATTAAAACAAATTTATCTCAAATTTGGAACCTTGGTAAGATTTGTGACTAATACTGATCTGGAAACAACATCTGGAAATGGGCCCTTGGAGTGAGAACTACGGGGTAAGACCTAAAAGGAAGGAAACAAGCTTTTCCCCCCTCCCTTTTATCATTTGCAAAGTCAAACAAAGTTGCTACTTACCATTTGGATGAAACATTTTGGATAAAAACCTAACAGTTGGTGGTTTATTTGGATATTCTTCAGAAAATTCTATTACTAGTTTGAAAGTACCTAGATAGAAAACAAACCAAAATAATTATAGTACAGACAAGCATACCTTTTAGATCTCTTCATCAATGAATTTTCAACCATACTGTGGTTTTTGCACCACATAAAAATTCATGTGAATTTTGGTTTAGTATATGAAACATACTAATATACTTCAATTTATGTCAGAATGACAACACACATTGCATTGGCAAGCATAGGAAACTAACACTTTCACATACTATTGGTGGGAATGATAACTTACATTTTTAAAAGGCAATTTGGTTCTGCTACTAAATTTAAAATGCACATTTGGACAATTTATTATAACTTAGAAGAGGAGAGGGTGCCCAGAGGATTTCTGAGAGTTGGTGACTACCACATACAAAGGACTCAGATTGGAGACTTGGGAGCTAATGTAGAAGGTCTGTTCTGTCCCATGAGACTCCCTTCACTTAAATATGCCAAGAATCAGTACTGGTAAGCGTAAGTGTAACTGCCTACTATTGTTGGTTATAGACCAACATAGTACATTTTGGTCAGTCCATATCAGTATTTTTTGGTCAATAGAAGCACAGGCAATTTTTTTAAATTATGCATTTTAACAAAGTAAATCTGTTCACAGTAAATAGAAAAGTTAAGAACTCTCAACTCCAATTCCAAATCCATTTCACAGAAATAACACTACTAGTGGTTTGGGGTTTGTTTTTTTTAGACTTCTTTTGTGTTTATTCACTATCTAAAGTCCTTTTATTTTGAGGAAATTCACCTTAAAGGTGAGTAGCTTAGAGAGGTCCTCCCTCTAACTACAACCCCTTGGAAAAACTTACTCCTAACGAAGTCAATGGAAGTTTAAACCATTCCATGTGTCTCTACACAGTTCTTTCCCTTATGTCACCTTTTTTTTTAAAAAATGCCAACTATAACTAAAAAAAATATTTAAAAATAATCTACTAAAAAATAAAAATTTAAAAAATAATCTAAACAACAAAACCTTAACCTAATTCTAAGCTCCTGGTTTCAGTTTACTAACATAAGAGGTATGTATTTAGTAAAATATTTTATTCTTTATCTTCTTCACTACTCATATTTGATATTCAAACTCTACCTCTTCACAATTTTTTGTTTGGAAATTTGGAATTAGGGAGGTTAAACATATAAGCAAAATAATAGGTAGTATCTATTTCATATTTTGATATATTAATAGAGGTACTATGAAATGTATAGTGAAGACAGCCTTATACCTATGTATTTTTAAAGTTTACATTTTAATTCTCTTTAATTACAAAAATGTACTGTGTAAAAATTTCAAGTAAACACAAATATGAAACAGCTACTTTTAATTCTCCCCCTATTGCGGGGTCTCCGGACCCGCCCTTTTTTTTATTAACCCTCACTTGAAGTTATTTTTCCAATGAATTTTAGAAAGAATGGAAGAGACAATCACAATTATGTAAATGAAAACATCGATGTGAAAGAGACATACATCGATTGGCTGCCTCCCACACTGGCCCTGATCAGGGCCAGGGATCCAGCCTTGCAACGAGGCACACGCTCTTGACAAAACCCGGGACTGAAGGGGACCCTTCAGCCAGCAGGCTCTATCCGAGCCAAACGGACTAGGGCTCAGGACACTTTTTACATTCTCATTCCACCAAGCTTCAATGTGAAGTCACCGAATGTGAAGCTGGAAAGAGATGCATGCAATAGCATACCATTTTATGGTATCTCCACAAAAAAAAAAAATAATTTCATTTTAAAATATCGGCTCTCTAATAATCAGCTTGCAAAAATTCCCAAAACTTTTAACAATCTGTTCTTACAAATCAGTACAAGCTGCCCCCAGCACACCAGTGGCTGTAACTACCAATATGTGTTGTATTAGAAATTATAACTCAGAAAAATCTTAAAATATATATCAAGAACTATAAACTCATTACACATTTACCTAAGTAACATTTAATGAGAAAAAACAACAACAAATATATTCTCACCAAGTTAGTGAGAAGTATTGTTTTATATTTTTTGCAAATCTCTTTAATGACTATCTTAACAGAAGACAGCTGGATTCTCTTAGCTTCTTCTGTATTCAATCTGTTGCAATATGCTGTTCTGGTTGAGGAACATGAAGATCAGGCATCACACAATTATATAAGTGAAAAGGAAGGGAGTGCTTTCATAGCCTTTTCAGATAACTAGGTGTTTTTTTATATTACACCAAAGAAATGACAAGTTTTTAAAGGTTAGTTGCAATTAGAATCTGAAACCATATAAGTAAAGCTTTACAACATTCACATTTGGAAAATCCTGGTTCACTGTTCAGCTGCTCTTGTTGACCTAAAAGCTCACTTAGATCACTTTTGAGAATATACCTGCCAAATACTCAAACCTAAATAATCAGTTTGTCAGTCATTCTTTCAAGTAAGAATGTTCCATGAAAAAAGCAGTAGCTCAAGTTGCAACTCAAACAACTGCAGAAGTATTTTTCCTCCAGACAATCATCATATTTGGTATACAAGAAAAGTGCTGTATACATACTTCCCACTTCATCACACAGAATATTAAAAAGATGTATACTCAAGGATCAGAATTTAATAATATTAATAATTTCCACTTTTTCACCAAGAGATTAAGTGAAACTGGCATTTTTTAAAATATAAAAAGTACCACTTAGTACAGTTTGGTGCCACTGTCTTGATTTATGCCAAGACACTAAACTGCTTAGGTCCTGGTTTTAGTCAATAATGCTTTTGTACCACCAGTACAAATGTCAATACAGTGAAAAAAGGCAAATGTCTCAGTATTGGTATGAACACAGTTTTGATCACATTGAACCCCTGAAAGAGTCTTAGGGACCTTAAGGGGTTTTTGGACCACTCTTGAGAATAACTTGGTGTAGAGTAAAAAGCTTAAGTCCTTAAGTACCTCTATTTAATTCCTAACCCTGACCTAGAGGTAACCACGGATAACAGTGTGGTACATAATCCTTTAACATGACAGACACACTTGCATATATGTACTATTGCAACATACATTATTCTGTAACGTCATTTGGTCTACCTTATTCTTTAACAGGTATATAATACTCCAGAGTCTAGCTAAACCATAATTTGCTAACCATTTCCTCTATTGGGCATTCAGGTTATCTCCTTAAAAATGGTGCTGCAGTCAATATCTTTGTACAAATATCTTTGCTGCATTAATGCTGAAGCCATTTTGATAATTAAAACAAACCTGTTTAACAATTCTTTTTTAGAACTGGAAATTTGCTTTTTTAAAAAAATAACATAGTTTTAAAAAGTATGCAAGAATGCTGTTTACAGGTGTTGAGTGCCAGTTGTATGTGAAATTACAGGCAGCTTTGTGTATTTAAGAACAATTTCAGCTCAACATCCTTTCAATACAGATGACAAAGTTTAAAAAAAAAAAAAAAAAAGCACAATACCCTCTCCTAGTGTTTACCACAGGAACATTGTTAGCATGCTACAAAGGCCATCCAAATTTAAACTATTATCAACACAGACCCTATGATCTAGGCTGAAGGTTCTATAGCCAAATATTAAGGTAATAGAGTGGTAACAAAGGTGATTAAGCTGATGGGAGGAGACAGTCTTGTAAACTCAGTAGCAGTATTTAATTTTAATTTGACCTATTAACAATAAAAAACAGTTTTAAGTAGATACATTGGTGTTATAATTTTCTCCTTTTGTTGTTGTTATTAATCCTCACCCAAGGATATTTTTCCACTGATTTTTAGGGAAAGTGGAAGAGGGACGGAAAGAGAGAAATATCGATGTGAGAGAAACACATCCATTGGTTGCCTCCTGCAAGAGCCCCCACCAGGGCCCACGCCGGGGGGAAGGTATGTGCTTCTGATCGGAATCGCACCTGGGACACTTCAGTCTGCAGGCCGCACCAAACCAATTAGGGCATAATTTCCTACTTTTTAAAAAGCTTCTTAACACTGTAGAAAACATAAGGAGAATGACTTACCATCTTCAAAGGGTGTCCCTTCTGGTCTGAAAACAAGAAAATTTCTGATTAAAGCACGTTTTTCATTCTTTTGTTCTGCTTTCTCCTGATTTTCAAGAGTGGAAAGGATAAACTCAAACAGAAAGAGGGGCTCATCCTGACAATTTGTGGAGTTTTTAAGACAGTGTTAATTTAGTATCATCTTAGGCCTAAATTTTTACAGATTTAGGCATAAAAGGTAACTTTTATTTTCTAAGTTTTCCTTTTAGGGTAGCTTTACACACACACACACACACACACACACACACACACGTATCACCATTTTAGCACAAAAATAATTCAGCTCCCAAATACCAACAAGTTATTTTGTAAATATGTGCATTCTTAAGAAAAAAGGTCCTATTTTAATTTACATCAGTAAGATGGAAATCAATACCCTTTAGTTTAAGTATGTTACCAAAGAAGCATGCTCTGCTTTTTAAAAAAATCCTCACCCAAGGATATGATGTTCATTAATTTTAGTGAGGAAGGGAGAGAGACACATTGATGTGAGAGAGGAACTTCGATTGGCCAGGCCTTTAAGAGCCTTGATTGGGGATGGAACCTGAAACTTAGGTATGTGCTCTGACTGGGAATCAAACCCACAACCTGTTATGCACTGGATGATGCTCTGAGCCCCTCTGCTAGGGCAGGTGTGTTCTATTTTTCAACAGAGCAATTTCTAGTTCAAACTGGATAGACCTAACTAAACCAAGAAAGCCAGTTTCTTTTGCTCAATCTTTTCCTGGCCTCCATACCCCAATTTCATTTTTCCTAAGCAGCAGCATGAAGTTTAATTATTACTTGCAAGGCATATTCAGGTCTCAAAGAAACATGTTCACAGTCTGAATTTAAAATAATAACTTTAGAAGGAGAACTACACTCTTTTTCCCACTAGTTTTTAAGGCAGACTCTTACTTGTAACTAATTCAGAGGCAACTCAGAATTGTTTATGAAAATATTCCCCCTTAAAATTAAAGATTTAACACAAAACCCTAGTTTTTTAAAAAGGGTGAAATAAAAAAAGATCAATTCTGAGAAAACCAAAGAAAAGGCATAAGGAAATTTTAAATTAAAAAGCATATATGCAATATATATGTAGAATGTAAGACTGCTTCTCAAAGACTTCATTCAGCTACAGGCATACTCATTTTATTGCACTTCACAGATGTTGCCTTTTTTTATGAATTGAAAGTAAGGCCCTCCACCAGCCAAAAAAAAAAAAATTGCTTTATTGTGGTAGTCTGGAACCAAACCCACAGAATCTATGAGGTATGCCTGTATTTCATACTGGGCTATGAAACGTTTTTTATTTAAAATCTTGTCATAGTGTAAGTTCTCAATGTTTTTTGTTCCTAGCCTTTTTATAGTTCTAATAAATACAAGCATAAACACTTGCTTGGCACATTTTGTATAAAATCATTTATCTCTTCTCCTTTAGTTTCAAATGGTATTTTTATAAGGTAAAACCCAAAGTTGTTATAAAATCTTAGGTATTTTTAAAAAATATATTTTTATTCATTTCAGAGAGGAAGGGAGAGGGAGAAATAGAAAGATCAATGACGACAGAATCATTGATTGGCTGCCTCCTGCACGCCCCTACTGGGGATGGAGCCCGCAACCTGGGCATGTGTCCAGACTGGAATCGAACCCAGGGCCCTTGAATCCACCAGCTGATGCTCTATCCACTGAGCTAAACCAGCTAGGGCTATAAAATCTTATGTATTAATTGCAAAATGCAAATAAATTTTATGTAACTGATAAAACTTTTATGGCAATGTTTTTTCTAATTTACCTTGCAGTTTCTGTAAGGTCCCCATTCCACCTCAGTCTCTTTTCCTAGTTGCTCATTTTTAAAAACTCACCACACCTAGCAGTTGTTTTATCTTTCAACTCACCCAAATATAACTGCATTCCACTGCATGATGTTGTTTTCAGATGGTGCGCCACTGACACCCACAGGTGGGTCCTCTTGCAATCTAGAAATCCGTAGTAATTTTAAAAGTTGAACATTTGGGCCACTAAAAAGGCCAAATAGAACACCTATAGGCTCTATACTATCTGCTCTGAGACACAAACAAAACCTACTTCCTTGTTCTTACGCTGAGCTGGAATAAACCATCTGACAATAAAAAAAACTTGCCCAGGTACATACTTATTAGATACCACTACAAATCATCTAGAATGCTAAAGGGCTTGGGAGTATCCCTCTTCAATTACCATCAAGATTAAGATATCTTTCAACAACTAATATATGTATAGGCTGCCCTCAACCAAAAATAAAAAACCTCAAGTTCAAAAAACATTTTAACAGAAGCATCAATTTTGCTGCTGTAATGCAGACTGAGTGCTAAGGATGGCTATTTGTTCAACATGGCCACCAAACCTCCTCCTCCTCAAAACAAAAAATCCTCAGTGTGACCACTAAAGGACTGAAAACACTTGATTCAATTTGATTAGGAAAGTAATTTCAGGCAGGAGAGCTACTTTATCCCCTTTGCTTCAATTAGCAATGGCTTTCAGAGTAATCAAAATTGCTTGGTTTTCCGTCAGTCCTTATTTTAAAGGCGCTGCACGAACACTAAAACTACCTCTGAGAGCAGGAGACTCAATACAAAACTATCTTTCAACATCTGTCAAATTCTTGTAACCTGAAGACCCTTGGAAAATTACCAAAGGCACCCTGTGTCCAATGCAGAATAAAGCAGAGAATCACAGCAAATCAGGGTAACACTAGGCACGAACTGTAAGTTTTATTATTTGAATTTCACTCATCTGAATTTCAGCTAATTTGAAATCTACTGTTTCAAGCTTTAGAAGATGACTTTTACATGAAATAGGGCATCTCCTTTCAAAGACTCAGTAAAAAATAAGCGCTGTATTTTCTCTCTCTCTCTCTCTCTCTATATATATATGTATGTGCAGTGATTGTCATGTGGTATGATACTTTCAAATCAGTCCACATAAAAACAGTTATTTTTAGTGAGCCTCAAGAAGACTGGGCCGCGACCAGAAGCCTTACAGGAATGATGATGCTGGACGCCCACCACAGGTAACCGGCCAAGAGAAGTGACAATTATATTCAATGATGATAAACTGGTCAAAGCCCAACACAATGGCTTCCAAGGCCTCACCTACGATTTTATCATGGCCAAGTTGAGAGGTCACTCCCTGAGCCGCTGATCTAAGTTTCTATACTACAGATTTCGTCTCAATCAGGGCAGGTCTCCGAAAAACAGAGGATCGCAATGCCAAGTTTTCTATTACTTTCCCCCCACCGTACCATAAGTAAAAGGTAAACTGGGGGGGGGGGGGGGGGG